GAATGGAGCAAAAATATAAAGAACCATTTTTTAGCTTCATTATTTTTTGTGAGTTCTTCTCATTATAAACTCTTCGTTAATCCATTTCTTTGTGTGACGGATGATCCCAGCTTGAACAAGTTCTTCTCATTACGAACTTATTCTTCCTCGTTGGATGAGTTCTTCTCATTATGAACCCCTTCGTCAGATAAGTTCTTCTCATTATGAACTCTTCATTTATCCACCTCCTTGTGTAATGAACGATTCCAGGTTGAATAAGCTCTTGTCATTACGAAGTTATTATCTATTGTTGGACAAGTTCTTCTCATTATGAACCCTTCATCGGATGAGTTCTTCTCATTATGAACTCTTCTTTTGAAATGTTGGTATATCTCCTTGTATGATGGATGTGTCGAGTTCCGAACAAATTCTTCTCATTATGAACTTCTTCTTCCTCATTGGGTGAGTTCTTCTCGTTATGAACCCTTCTTCAGAGACTTTGATCCATCTCTTTGCGCGACGAATGTGTCGAGTTCCGAACAAGTTCTTTTCATTATGAATTTCTTCTTTCTCATTGGGTGAGTTCTTCTCATTACAATCTTCTTTTGTGACGGATGTGTCGAGTTTCGAACAAGTTCTTCTCATTATGAAATTCTTCTTCCTCATTGGCTGAGTTCTTCTCATTACGAAGCATTCTTCAAAATTGTTGATCCATCTCCTTGTATGACTGATCTGTTGAGTTCCGAAAAAATTCTTCTCATTATGAACTCTTTCTTCCTCATTGGGTGAGTTCTTCTGATTACAAACCTTTCTTCTGAAATGTTAATTCATCCCCTTGTGTGACGGATGTGCCGAGTTTCGAACAAGTTCTTCTCATTATGAACTTCTTTTTTCTCATTGAATGAGTTCTTCCCATTATGAACCATTCTTTTGAAATATTGATATATCTCCTTGTGTGACGGAAATGCCGATTTTTGAACAAGTTCTTCTCATTATGAACTTTTTATTCCTCGTTGGACAAGCTCTTCTCATTACGAACCCTTCCTCGAAAATGTTTGGTCTATCATTTCTTTGAAGAATTTTACCTGCAAAAGATCATCATGTGTCATTGATATGCATTTGAGTAACCTAGAGGGTAATAAACTAAATGTCCTTAATTCTTTGCTGAGATCCACTTCTTTTAAAGGTGAAACTGTGGATCGAATATTTACTGAAACTTGTCTTCTTTTTCACGAAATCATGAATTGAAATCTTTGTTATTTTTTGAATTCATGTTAAATATTTAAAGTTGATAGGAAGAATATGTGTGCTCATATTCTGTAAGTGCCTGAATATGTATGATGTCATTTTAGCGCTACGAATTTTGTTGTCCATTTTAAATGCATCATGCTAAAAAATCTTATGGATGGCCCGAAGGACTTAATCACCATGCTCGAACGACTTGCTAGTGGCTCGAAGGACTTACTAAGTAAGAAACTTTGGAAATTGTATTTGTTTTTTAAAAATTATGTGAAAACATTTTGCCCGAAGGTCTTATAGATGGCCATAAGGACTTATCATCTTACTCGAAAGACTTATAGATGACCCGAAGGATTTAAGTATCATGCTCGAAAGACTTATTGATGGCTCGAGAGACTTACTCATCGAGAAACCCTTAAAATCAAGGTTAATTCTTAAAAACTTTTGAAACCATCATATTGACTGAGTAATCATAAAAAAAAAAAAACTCTAAAAATTAGACTTAGCTTCTTTAAAAAATCATTTGAAGAAATCATAAAGAAACTTCTGAAAATAGAACTTAGTTTCTTTAAAATTCATTTGAAGACATCATGTCAAGAAACCTCTGAAAATTAGACTTAGCTTCTTTGAAAGTTTATTTGAAAACATCATCTCAATCAAGAAACCTCTGAAAGTCAGACTTGGCTTCTTTAAAAACTCATTTAAGAACATCAAGTCAAGAAAACTCTAAAAATCATACTTAGTTTCTTTTAAAAATTCTTTTGAAAGACCATGTTAATCTTCAAAAAACCTCTAAAAATCAGACTTAGTTTCTTAAAAAATCACATTAGCTGGGTAACATTCCCCACTTAAAAAATGATTATTGTTCTATGTACTGGGTTCTTCAATTCTTGAGGTTCTACCAATCTTAATGTAATTCCCTCCTTTTGAGGCTTGAATTCTGATTTTTCTTTTCTTTCTCTCATTTCGTAGGAAAATCTGCAAGAATTATGTATATATGTATGACAATATGAATGCACTTAAATGTATCTAAATGAAATGCATGACTTTCTTACATGAAGAAATGTTGATCATTCTTCTTCTCGCATCAAAGTGAAGACCTTAGTGTTACTTCACTTGATCATCTTTGAATGGATCTTGCCTCAATATCGATGTAGCAACTTGCCAGATCAGGTTTGCAATCTTCAGGGGATCATCCTGATCAGCTTGTGGTCTTTATTTTTTGTCTTTTTTTCGGAGGAAATGCTTTCTCTCTCGAATTCTTTTTATGATCAGGTATATGGCCTTGAAGCAATTTATGTCATTGACTCAACCGTTCAATCAAATTTGTTTCTCAGGAATCGTCTTCCAACTAAAGCATGAATGGTCTATTTTTCAAGGTAAGCTCTTTTTGTTTTCATCTTTTGACCTTGACACTCAAAGTGGTAATGCTCATATTCAGGGTCTTCTTAATCTCGATCTTGTTGTCTCCACATGATCAAGATTTTTTCGGAATGCCCCAATATAGGACCTTCGAGAGTCAATATTTGATTTTGAATGATTTGTTTATCATTCCATTCGTCAATGACAACAAGCTATCATCTTGGGCAAACAGAATTGCCGCCATGTGTCTTCCTTGTTATGGTCAAATAGTTTAGGGGCCTTCCCTTTCTATGAGGTCTTAAAAACATATGGACACTTAAGAATTGACCAATTTTTTCTTTGATATGAATTGAGATATCAGAAAATCTCGAAGTAAGTCGTGTCCCTTCTTGTTTAGTATGTTGTTTGCTTCTTGACCAGTCATTGATATTGACATTATCACAAAATTGTGAATAGTTTCATTCTTGGATCTTCTAATTTTCTGGCTTTGTTATTCATAAATCTGGGGACATCTTGAGTGTTCCCCCTTCGCTCATATCTTTACTTTGACTTCTGTTTGTGATCTTGCTTCTTTACTTCAGGCAGAATGAGCCTCGTCCACTTCAAGGACCTCTTTTTCGAGAGATTACCATGTTAGAAAATGTTTTTCTTCCTCTTTTGTGAAAAAAAAAAAACTTTGATGCATAAGTTTTTTTTTAAATGTTTTCATTTTGTTCATGCTCACAATCAAAGCAAATTTCAAAGCAAGAGTTCATTGAATATCAAGTAAGTCAAATGCTCTTTTAATCCTTCAAAGAGTATATATATATTTGACAAGTCTAAATATTGATGTTGATTTAAGGCTTAGGTTAACTTGTGGAGGTAAAGTGTTTCAGGTTGATTTGGGAAGGTAATGTGTTTCAGGTTGGTTTCTTTGGTTAATGTATATCTTTCTTGACTCTCGTGTTCATTGATATGATGAAGTAGTCGTTATGCTTATCTTTCAAAAATGTTCACTGGTTTCCAGCCCTCGTGAGCGCCTTTGGGTTGTGCAGTTCTTTATCAAGAGATGTATAAGATCGTCTTCTGTGCAGTAGTTAACAATCTTTGTATTCGAGCTGCCTTTTCAAGTTTTCAACTCGAATTCTCCTTTGGTTTCAAGACGTCATCTAAAATTTTACGTTTTGAACCCTCCTTTTGTTATTTTTCCCTATCATGCATTAAAGATTTTAAAAAACTATTTTTTGCAAATAAAATTAACCCTGAGGGGCCGCACGGAGTTTATCGTGTTCTTGCCTAAGAATTACATTTTCATGGTGTTCCAATTGGGTCTAGAATTTCAAACACAAGTGTAGATCAATTCAACCATCAATATTGTACAGTAAAACAAAATAAGATCATCCACTTACCTTCATCCGAGTTCTCATGTTTTGAAACCAAAATTTAATTTGGTTGCCCTCTAAGCCTAACCTCCTGCTAAGCTCTATTTCTTCATGGATTTTTTGTTTTTCTTTTCCTTTTCTTCGTCATCATATATAGTAATTCGTCTCTAATTTCATCTCTTTGAAGTTCATGGATTTTTTTACCTATTATTTGTTTAAAAAGTGGATTTTTGAATATTAGTCAATCACACATTGTGCTTTTTTATCTTAATTCTTATGATGAAAACCCAAGAGTTATTTGATATGGGTTTTCTTATGATAAAAACCCAGGAGCAATAATGCGGCGATGGCGAGAAGGGGAGGGAATAAGTTAGAGAAATGGGGTAAAATGAGTTAACTACAACCATAGTTCCTGAAGCCTCTAAGATTTTTAAAATTGAAAAATTTTAGAGTTTAGTGACCAAAATAGAAGAGAAGAAAATAGTTGAGTGATGAATGGTTTAATTTACTCAATAAGAATTAACGAAACTATTAGTCAATGATGGAAAACGTTGGTCAAATGGCCCATTGGGTTCTTTTTTCGAGTTGTAGGGCCACATTGATAAAAAAAAATGATAGGGGCCACATTGGTTTTTTTGAAAGTTCAGGGGCCTTTGATTCATTTAAGCCTTACTTTTTTAAAAATTGTATTTGCAATTATGTTTTAGTTTCATTTTGGTCACCCATCATTAAAAAATTAACAGAATTGCTAATGTGATATTTAAAAGAAACAATAATAGTGTGGCATTAACTTATGGTGATACGTCAACATCACCATTAATTTTTTTAATAGTAGGTGACTAGATTGAAACCAAAACGTGACATATGGTATGATTTTGGAACACAAAATAGTTGAGTGACCATAACCGGACACAAGAGATAGTTGAGGTATTGAGCATGTAGTTTACCCTGATTTTTTTTTTGGTAATATGGATTTTAATAGTTCTCAAATATAAGAGCTATAGCGACACAGACGAGATACAAGTGGAACTTTTAGTTAAAAAGAGATCCCGGTTTGCCTCTCTTTCATCGTCTAGACTTTAAAGGGGGGAAAAAAGAGAGTAAAAGGAGCTAAAGAGAGAAGCTGAAAGCCTTTACCAAAGAAGAGAAGGAAGGATTGTATTTGGGCCAGAGAAGATGACAGAAAGCTCTTCAAGAAACAAATGGGTCTTACTTTTGACGCTTACCTTTGCTCATTTCTCGTCAATTTCACTGGCTCAAGATGGTATTTGCTCTTTATCTCTTTCTCCATTCTCAATCTGCTCTTACATTTTTTTTCCTGGGTTTCATATTTTGCTGCAACTTAGTTGAGTTATGCTGCATGGGTTTTTGTCATGTTCCTTATCTGTTCACAACACAAAGAGCTCTGATTACAAGTTAAATTGGTTATAATAAGTTGATTCTATTTAAAAGGCCTAGTTCTTCAATTCTTGGCCATTCTCTGCAAATTCCTACATGAATCTCCTGTAAAGATTCTAATCTCTTCTTCTTCCCTTTCCTGCAAATTCTAATCACCTTCATTTACCGTTTGTTGTATAATTTCAGTAAATACTAAAGCTTCAATGGAGTCTGTGTAGGTATTTGTACAATTCTAAGTTGGTTTGAATTTTAATTATAAGTTTAAAGGTGGGCCTTAAGTGTCTCCCAAGGACCTTAATCTTTTGCTTCTTTTTTCTTGTCCGTCTTAATTCAAAGTGTGTAAATTTTAAAACAACAGTTAGTGACTGGTAATAATTTCAAATATGATTTAAATAGAAAAATTGCACCCAAATTATTAGATGAATTCTTTTCCCTAGTCATTGTCGCGTACATGACGAATCACCCACGAGGGGTTCTATCATTTTGCACAGGCCGAAAGTTACGGTATTAACCAATAGGGTAAACTACATATTTAGTACCTTAACTGTCGCTTTAGTTCAATTTTGATCAACAAACTATCTTTTGTTTTAAAGTATACTTAACGTTGAGTTTTGATTTTATTTTGATCATTCACTGTTAAAAAATTAATTGTGATATTGATGTGTTATCATAAAATAATATCACATCATCATCAAAAAAAAATTAAAATGTCACATCAATGGTTCTATTAATTTTTAACGGTGAGTAATTAAAATAAAATCAAAATGTAACGTTAGGTTATGATTTAAGAAAAAATAATTGATTGATCAAAACGGAATAAAAATAATAATTGAAGTACTAAATGCATACTTTACTCTAACCAATAATATAGATTCTCTCTTTACCTATTAGTTTTGGTATAATCAATACCTCTAACTAATTTGAAATTACATAGTTCTACTATAAGAAGAGGGCTATTTATTTGAAGTGAGAAAAGTCGGTAAACTAATGAATGACGATGTCAAAAAGTGAACTTGTTGAGGTTAAATGATTTTGACAAATGGGTGCTTAAGGTGAGCGAAATGACCAAAAAGGGTTAAATTACCCCAAAATATCTATTCTTTCTCTCCCTAATATAACAAACGACAAGGGTTCTTTCGACAAATCCTTTTCCACTTTTGTACAGAATCCCAAATTTCCAGCTAAGTTCTGTCTTACGGTCATGATGCGAACCAAACCCTTCTGCTTAGGGGATAGTGTAAGAAAGTGAGATGGGCTGAACCGGCGGGGTAGGGCTCACACTGTCAAGTGAAACTGGTAGCTGGTTCATGTTGGGCTGGGACCAATCTCACATCAATCTCTTCATTTTTTTTGTCCATGTTTGAAATGAAAGCTTCTTCCTTTTTGTCTGCATGCAGTGTTCGGCGTATCGTTTTCTCTAGGAAGTTTCTTTCCTTATCAGGGTATGAACTATTCTTTCAGTGTGAGGCTAGTAAATAAGATAAGGTTATCCCAAGACTTGTTTTTTTCACCCGAGCTAATAATAGCTTTTTGGTTGCAAGTGTCAGGCATGAATTCCATCACTGTAATTTCAGCCACACGTTAGAGTTAGAAACAGGGTAAAGGTAACATATGGGATGTTAGTTTGTTGATTCTTCCTAATGATCATTACATTATTTATATGATTAAATTTGTCATTAATTATTAAACAATTGATGATCGTCTGAATTGGACGTTAACCTATTGATTAAGATATGATAAATTCTGATTTTAGAATCTTTTGAGTTGTATTATGTGGATTGGTTCTGCGCTCATATTATACCTTCGAGTCAGTATTTAAAACATTATATCATCGAGTCAATGCTTGAAAGCAATGACGGTATTAGTATATATCATTAAAATATAATTTTATCATATTCTAATTAGCATATTAATATTCAACTCATATATACATTAATTTTTTAACAAAAAAAAAGTTTAAAACATATGAATAGATGAATGATTATTTTATAATTTTTATTAATAAAAAAACTTAACAAATAATGTTCTACATTTAAAAATTATAAAATAATTTTTAATAACCGAAAATATAATAAAGAAGGGATTTAATAAAGCACCTATTTATATACTTAATCTGAAAAGCAATACACGAAAAAATATGGGTTAGTAATAATTTATTATTTTCGTTTGGTAGGAAACTGCAAAAATATTTGTCTGCTAGTTTGATGGGCCAACAGAGAGATTTACTGACCATCAGCAAAATTTTATCGACAGTGAAACATTTCTGCTATTGTACTTATTTTCTCAAATCTTTATGTCGTCATCCTATCCGCACATGTACTGATAATCATACTTGTCTTTGGTGGTAATTAATGGGGTGTATGTAATCAAATACCATGGACAATAATTTTTACCAAATGTTGAACAGAAAAAATTACATTGCATTTATTGTATAGGTCTGGTGGCAAATGGTGATTTCGAGACACGTCCATTGAACGGCTTCCCGAGTGAGGCAGTAACGGATGGGCCCGTCGAGATCCCTAGCTGGAGATCAATCGGCACGGTGGAGCTGGTGGCGTCTGGGGAAAGTGTGGGTGGAGGGATGGTGCTCATTGTTCCCCGAGGCACACATGCCGTTAGATTAGGGAACGACGCGGAGATCAGCCAGGAACTGACGGTGGAGAAAGGATCATCCTATGCTGTTACTTTCAGTGCGGCACGCACTTGCGCGCAGATGGAGTCATTGAACGTGTCGGTGCCTCCAGCATCGCAGACGGTCGATCTCCAAACACTGTACAACGTCCAAGGCTGGGACCCTTACTCGATTTCTTTTGCGGCGGCGGAGGAAAAAGTGCGGTTGAATTTTAAAAACCCGGGGATGGAAGATGACCCGGAATGTGGACCTATCATTGATGATATTGCCATCAAGAAACTACAAGTTCCCGATAAACCAAAAGGTAAATTGTTTCTTATTTGTTCTTCTTCCCTTCGGCTCCCATTAAACGTCTTGCTTATAGCAATATAGGTTAGAATTAAAAACTAACTGATACTTAAGAATCCATGATTTATCATGTCAAATAATTGAAAATAAACTATTAGATACGAAAGCAAACTTGAATTGAAAGTTTGAAATCTTTGATTCTTTCTTGTTTATGATCTTATAAGAAAAGAAATTTTCTCCTATAGTAAAAACTTTTCATACAGAGAGAGTAATATAAGTTTACATATTTTTCGGAGACTACTACTTTTTTTATATAAAATATGTCAGTTTAAGTATTTATAATTTTATTCCGCAATTATAAATACAATTTATGATATAAACATTTTGATTACACGATACTTTAATACCTATGACATATATAACATAATTAATCATTTAATTTTGTGTCATATTTTATAATAATATTATAAATTATACATAATCTAATAGTATATGCATATGATCTCAGACAATGCAGTAGATAACGGTGGCTTTGAGTTCGGCCCTTGGATGTTCCAAAATGTATCTCTTGGAGTCCTACTCCCAACCAACCTCGACGAAGAAACGTCCCCAGTACCAGGATGGATGGTCGAATCTACCAGGGCGGTTCGATACATCGACTCCAACCATTATGCCGTACCGGAGGGCAAACGTGCCGTGGAGTTGGTCTCGGGCAAGGAAGGCATCATTTCTCAAATGGTGAAAACGAAACCAGAAAAGCAATACAGCTTGAGCTTTTCTTTGGGCCATGCTAGGGACAAGTGCAAGGAACCACTCGCTGTTATGACCTTTGCAGGAGATCAGGCACGGAGTTTTCATTACACGCCCGAATCAAACTCCACCTTCCAGGTCGCTATTGTTAACTTCACTGCCAGGGCTGAGAGTACACGAATCGCGTTCTACAGTGTTTATTACAATACAAGAACCGATGACATGAGCTCCCTGTGTGGTCCGGTTGTGGATGATGTTCGAGTCTGGTTTTCAGGGTGCAGTAGAAACCAAGTGGTTCGAGTATGGCTTGGGATTGGATTTATCTTTTGGGCTTACTTTCTGGTTTTGGGTTAGAATTGGGTAAAGTTACGTGTTCTTTTCATATATATTTGCTTGCAAGGGATGAAATATGTAATATGTCGTGTTTTCTATTGTATTGTCGTGGCTTCTTTATGAGTTTTGCTTCGAGAAGTGAGATTATTTTCAAATTTGCTTTTCTATTACAACCAAGTTAGCCTAAGATGGAAACCCTATTATGATCATTGTTATTATTATTATTATTATTATCCCCTCATCTCATCAGTAAAGACCGCAGCATTTATTAAGATATTTGGATACGTTTTGACAGGAAAACCTTGCAGCCATCTCTATGACTCATTGTGGAAGTGTAGATGATTTCATCGCAGCCGTCAGTTCGATCCCTCTTGAAATCCAGCAACGTCAAGAACATGGCGATGAAAAGAACCAGATGGTTCAGTGCGTATCTTTGTCCCACACACTGGTGTGCACCCTGCACCTGCACCTGCGCCGGCCCCGAAAGCCAGGTAGTTCCTTCTGAATCCCACCTCCACCTGCCTTTCGTCGGAGAATCGCTCCGGTTCGAAACCGTCGGCCTCCGTGAACCCTTGGAACGACGACTCGTAAACCGATGGGAACACGATTGTTCCTTTTGGAATTGTGTATGATTCGGTTAGCATGAAATCCTCCTTACAATGTGAAGCACTAATGTCGCCGGCGCACGGTATCTGACCACCCCACGTGCCACCGCTTTTGTATACTTCATTTCCCTTAGTTGCTCGGCGGTGGTTAAATCATCCGATTCCGGCCACCAAATCCTCGAAACTTCGTCCCTGACTTTCTGGAGAACATCGGGATGAGAGTCGAGGAGTATCACCGCCCATAGGAGCGACAACGTCGAGGCATCTTGGGCGGCGAACAGGAAATCAAATAGGCAACTCCCGATTTCTTCATATGTTGAGTGCGGCGGCGTTGTTCTGGACTCGACGTTGGCCCGAACCAATCCCTGCATCCAAAAATCGATTAAACAACAAGGCTCGTCACCTTCAAGCATCCTCGTTTTACTTTGAGAAACGCAATCAATAAGCATTTTGACCATCCGCTGACAGCACAGCTTCGCTTTTGGAAACGCGAAACCAGGCAGATCATACGGGATCGTCGATAATCCCGCGTTGAAATCATTATAATCGACCCTGAATCTCTCGCGAGCTTCACTCGATAAATACCTGCCAACGAACACCGTTTGAGAAGTTTCGAGGTTCAAGTCACGAACAAAACGCCGGAGAGGAATTCCCTCCGCCGGGAGACGCTCCCAGGATTCTAAATGTCTAAGAATGATGAGCTGCTGAAACTCGATGTAGGTTGACAGTGCTCTGGGAGTGAAATTAGTAGCGATATGAGAGTGGAGATCTTTGTGATCTTGTCCAGTCAATTAAATTATGTTATGTTCGCCAAAGATTTTTTTACCGAAGGGATGCCCGGTGTGTATGAAAGTATCGGATCGGACGTTGGCGAAGATAAGGTGAGAAAGCTCTGTATCTTTGACAAAAACGGTGAATTGACCGAGAATGTAATTAACAGAAAATCCAACAGCAGAAGAAAACTGAGCTTGAACTTACCATAACTTGGTGGGATTTGTGATTAATGAGATCGCGTTTCCTACAAATGGAAAGATTATGTATGGAGCAGGAGCATTTCGCTTTCTTTTTAAATATAAGATTTGTTCCCATAAAGGATACAAAGTAAGAGGGTGACAAAATATGGAACTAAGGGGGGAGTTTAGTTAAGATAATCTTGGATTACCAGAGAGAATTCAATGTCATTCCTCCGTTTGGATTGCAAATATTCTCAAATCCCGGTAATAAGTTATTCCCAACAGTGGTATTTTGGGAGTATATTACCGGGAATTTATTCCCTCCATTCCCTTAGGTATTGTTACATTCTCAGCGTTTTGGATTAAATTGTCCTTAAATTTTTTTCTTTCAAAAATATCATTCTTCTGTCATTGAATAAAAAAATTCTACAAAGGTTAAAGTGCAAATTTATCTTTAAACTATTTTAGATTTACAAAAAAATCTATAATTATAATTTTATATGAAGTTCAAGGGTTAAAATAAAATTTTACTATTTCATTAAACCTATATATCTTTTCAATTTTGTTATATATATATATATATTATGAATTTAAAATTTTTAAAGAAAATATATAAATTAATTATAATAGAATTCAACTTGTTAAAAAAATAAATATATAATAAGGACAATTTGATAAAATATACATTTAAATAATCTTTTATTCATTTAACCAAACACTGTAATCTTACATTTCTGCTAAACGAACCAAACACAAAAATGCAACATTCCCAGTAAACTTATTCTCGTCGTTAATTTTATTCCTCTGATAATCTTACATTCCGTGAACCAAACTAAATGTGACACAATAAATAAAATGGGATTCATCATTTTTCTTATCATTTTTTCCAAATGGAGGAGACAATGAAAAGATTGGTGTTGAGAGGTAATTGAAAAGGTGTTTACATAAGAGGCGAGAGAGGTGATGTCAAATCAATATTTTAATTAAGTTAAGTACATAAATGGTCCTTGTCATAAGATATTATTTTATTGAGTACTTTAATTATTAAAAGTTATAAAATAGTCATTCAATTATAGGCAATGGTTTGTCAAATCTCTCGACTATTGAGAGTTATTTTGTTGAGTTCCTAAACTAATAAAAGTTACAGAATGATCACTCAATTATTATATATTCTAAACTCATTATTTTTATTAAAAAGTTGACGGTTTTTGAACTGAAGGTTAATTTGTTGACAGATATATGATAACATTTTATCCCATAATCATTTGAATTACATAGTTGTTTAAGATTTTAGGATTATATTTTATCATATCTCAATCATCATGTTAACATCCAGCTCAGACGATCATCAATTTTTTAACAAAAAAAGACGAGTTTGAAACACGTGAATAGTTAAGTGACCCTTTTGTAACTTTTAATAGTTGGTGGACTCAACAAAAAGAAGTGTTATGTACTCAAGGGACCATTTTATAACTTTTAATAGTTATGGGACTTAATAAAATAGTGTCCTATGGTTAGAATATCATTTGTGTACCCTTTAATTAAAAGAATATCCATGTCATCTTCTTGGAAATTATAAAATACATGTCGTTAGTGTAAATTTATAAAAGACAAAAACCGGTTACAACTGAAAATCTTATCAATAACATAATTTTTTAGTTTGGACAAAGTAACATTTTAGCTTGGACAAAATAACATTTTAGCTTGTCACTAAAAATATTACATTATTCATAATATTTTCGGTTATGAGACCTAAACCCTTCATAAACTTTTCGGTTGCAACTGAAAAAAATTATAAATTTGTATAAATTTTTATGTTGAACATGCTAATATTTTAAGTTGAAAATCGCCTTAAATTAACTTTATATTAGGATGTCACACAAGATAACTACTTGTCATCTTATATTTTTAGTTTAAATTTTCAACTTTTGTTATGGAAAATAATTTTTAATTGAAATTATATTTTTATCTTCAATTATTTAATTTTTATATTTTAAAAGGATATACATACATATATAATTATATATTAATTTATTTTATATGAACAATATATTTAAACGATATATTTATTTTAACAATTGGGACTACTCGAAGAGTTCATTCATTTGCTTAATATATTTTTAAATGACACGTGTTACTTAACAATTTTTTTTAATTTTTAATGGTAGGACCTAAAAGTATAACAAGAAAAATATTAGGCACCTATTTTTATCGAAAAAAATTTTAGATAGAAAAATTTAATTTGAGGTATAATTTAGGCACCTAAAATTGTATTAAACCTAAATAATTTTATGCTTTCCATATTATATGTATAAAAATATATTTATATAATATTAAAATAAAGAAATTTATTTTAAATATAAATAATTAAATCAAAATTATGCATATAAATGAACCCTTCAAGTAATCTCAATTGTTGGACATTTTATTTGTCTCTAGATTCAAGTAGCTTTTGGGATTTAGATTTTGACCTTTTAAAAGAAACTATAGATATAAATATATTGATTTTTTTTAGAAAATGACAACTGGATTTCGTTAATAAAAATAGTGGAATGAATCAAAACTACAATATATCTAAAGAGAAAATTAAAGAGAACAGTCACAAAAAAACCCATACATAAAACAAAAATAGTAAACCCAAATATATGAAAAAAATGAAATTTTCCATTGAGAATGACGTCTAACATCAAAGAACTCAGTAACCTTCATAAAAAATTTTGTCTCTATCGAACAATATGCTTTACAAGTGATAAAGAAGTGGTGAGTGAATCAAACAATTTGACATACTGGTTTGGCTATACAATTATGATTATATCGACATGCAACCCTCTACCAAAGAGGGGATCTGACAATGTGTGACCATTGACACCAATCTGAAAACAAATGTTGTGAGGATCATTGTGGAAGCACCAACAAAATCGCAAAGGTGTGCGGAAAACTTATCAAAATCTATGTGAAACGTGTCACAAAAGTAGAGAAAAGCATGTCACAAAAGTAAAGAAAAGTGTGTCACAAGGACAAAAACTCTTACTTAGAATTTGATAAATTTAAGAAAAAAATAAAAGAAAAACAAATGAAATAGTATAAAAATAAAAAATAATAATAATCACCAACGAATGACAACCAATTTTAAGATTGATGTCTCTACCGACTAAACAAAAATCAAAAAAATATTTTTAATCATTTGATAATTAACGCTCAATCACCTTAATGTAGTTATTGGTACTTGAACATGTGTCTTCTTAAGGACAATGACGATTCTTTTAATCACTGAGACAAGTTGATTGAAGTCTCTACCGACTAAACAAAAATCAAAAGAATATTTTAAATCATTTGATAATTAACGCTCAATCACCTTAATGTAGTTATTGGTACTTGAACATGTGTCTTCTTAAGGACAATAACGATTCTTTTAATCACTGAGACAAGTTGATTGATGTCTCTACCGACTAAACAAAAATCAAAAGAATATTTTTAATCATTTGATAATTAACGCTCAATCACCTTAATGTAGTTATTGATACTTGAACATGTGTCGTCTTAAGGACAATAATGATTTTTT